CCTGGTACTAATATCAGCACTATACAGTAGATTATAGATTATAGAGTAATGTCTATCCACCCTTCTTACGATTATATATATATATATACACCCTTTTTTTATAGGTAAAAAAATGGCTTACATATTACTATATTAGAGTTTATTGTTAATGTGACGAAGTTAACAAATAGATTTTACCTCCTTAATTTTCTATAATTGTTTTCATGATCTAATTACCTAATGTAACAAAGTAATAAATAGCATTAAAAAAAGATTTTTGTTTACGATTAAAGACTTCTGGTTAAACATTATTTTCGTAATATATTAAGCAGAAATATAATTTAATGAAGAGGTTTAAATTCATGTTCTTTTATCTTATAAGAAAGTATGAAATTTATGGCGAAGAATAGAAATTCATTATACTAACCAGTCTCTTTAGGGTTGAGTGCTTAAGCTAATTGCTGTGAAAAAGTATAAAGTATAAATCCTATTAGCTTCTTTTTTCTTTCAGATAAAAAACACTATATAAAATAGATAATAATACTGGCTAAACTCTCCATGATTTTTTTTGTACACAATTCTACTAAATATTTAACTTCAAAATTCACAGTGAAGGAGATTATAGCAGTTTTCAGGTTAAATGCGAATGATTCAACAAAGATCATCTATCTTAAGATTAAAGTCTTCATCCTATTAGATCAGACTATTCAAATCTAAATTAATGATTTCAAAACTGACGATGTAATTTTTTTAAAGGAGAAGTTCATCGCTTATTCTAGATACTATTCTGTATGTACAATTTCTGTCAAAAGTAATGGTAATGAGAATATTGCTTCTTACGTAAATCACAATATCTCTGTTATCCTAATTTAGCTTATTGTTTATTAAACTAAATTAGATAATGGAATATTTAAATAAAAAAAATAAATTAAAATCCTTTTGAACTTTTTTATTACTCACTGAAATCACAATATCATTAACATCTATTAAAATGAGTCGTAAAGTTATAAAGTTTCTTTGAAATAGAAACATATAATATTTGGGCTATTTTTTTAAAACATAAAATAAATTTCAAATGAAATTTTTTTTAATAAAGAAATAGGATAATTTAAATAACTCAATATTATTTAACTGTATTAATAGCATGCTAATCAAATTCAAGCATGTATTAATGTAAATGGAAAACATACTACATATTAATTATCTAATAAAATTTATAATTATTGTATTTATCTTTATTTTAAAAAAAAATTACCTATATTTGATATAAAATTATATGTATAAGATTAAAAAAACCATCTGCCATTACTTTTAATGGGAACTGTATAGTATAATTCTTTGAACTTTTTACTATGCTTTATTTTTAAATTTGCTAACCTTTATGAATAACATAAAGGTCAATGCCACTTTTATCAAGATCTTGAAAAATATAGATTTTGATCTTATATTACCGATTGGTCTGAATGTGATATTTGTAAGTATTATAATGAAAATAGTAAAGAACTTTAATGGGAAATCAGTCCTTGATTTTTATATAAAAGAAAATCTTAGTGATATAGTGGCTGTTACCTATAAATCGCACAAAAGTCATGTGACTTTAAAAATTTATAAATTAAAATTAAAACAATTTTAGGCAAATTTAAACTGATAAAATTATAGATCAACACATGCTTAATACTATTATCGGTTTATTTTTTCAAGAAATTATAAAATTTTCAGAGCTATTACAATTTAAAGTTTAAGAATTTTTCATATGACATATATTGTAAAATGGGAAATTTCAGACTGAAGATCAATGATATTTAAGTGAAATTTTCACATGAAATTTGGAATTTCGTTCACATTTTGATCAATTTTAACATCAATGACTTATTCATCAAAGAGAAATCTATGGTTAAAGAGCAAAGATGAGATAATAATGGAAAGTTTGCAAAGAAACTACGAGTTAATGATGATTAGGAAGATGAAAATGACAGTGGATGAAACGAAATTGAATTACCAAATGAAAACGAAAATAAAAGTAAGTTAGTTTAGTTAAATAATGCACACCTGAAATAAAAGAAATGTGGACTTTACCTTACTGAAACAACTAAAAAATCAACTTATTTCGATAAATATGGGCCAAGTGATTCTTTTACAAAAGTAGCAAAAGGAACTATGAATATTTTAATACTTATAATAAACAAGCAACTCCAGATGATTTTGATGAAGTTTTGGATGATATGGAAAATGAATATAATGATCAGCTTGATATAAATGAAAGGATTGAAAGTTTGAGAATTGAATTTAAAGAAAACTAAAAAAAATTATCTGTGTCTGAATTCAACAAAAAACGAGCAATCTTTGAATATTTGAGAAAACTGGATGATGATGGAAAAGATAAGATAATGGCTAGTAAAGAAGCTGCACAATTGGTTTTTATTGAAAGTGCTCCCTATAGAGTACGAACTATTCATTATTAGGCCAATTATTGGCTCAAAAATAATCATCTTTCAATAAGCCGTTAAGGTAAGCATCAAAAGACAATACAGCTAATAGATGATGAAGATATAGTAGAAGAATGCCACATTTAGATTCGTTCACAAGGTGGAAAAACTACTCCACTAAAATTCAAAGCATTTATTAAAGAAAAATTGCTTGTTCATTCAGGAGTCATGAAAAAAAAACCATCAGTACAAAAACTGCGACACAATGGCTCAATGTACTTGGATATTTTTTTCAGTCACAAAAGTAAAGTGTGATATTATAAATTACAAAATTCATTAAACTATTTATCATTACTAATATTACATGATGTTGTATAAGACATATACTATGATGACTATGAGCGTCCTGACATTTTAAAATATTGGCAAACTTTTTTAGATAAAATCTATGGCTATGAGAAGTATATAGCAAATACGAAGGTGAAAATATAGAACGGATACCGCTGACATTAGAAACTAGCAAAAAGGAATTAATTTTTGTAACTCATAATGAGTATATATTTTACTCCAATGACGAAAAGTGAGGCATATAGGCGAAGTCTAAAGAATTACCTTTATGTAAGAAGAAAAATTAGCGTTCTATTATGGTTAGTGAATTTCTGTCTGAAGAATGTGGTCAGTTTAAATTAAATCCACAGCAATATCAAGAAAATCCTTTCATACCTGAAGAAGTTCGAGCTTATCTTCAATCAGGAAAAGATTAGGAAGGATACTGGATGAGTGAACATCTAATTAAACAAGTGAAAACAAAGGCAATCCCAATTGTTAAAACTATTTTTCCAAACTGTATTGCTTTGTTTGCATTTAATAATAGTTCAAACCATGTGGTATTTAGATCTGATGCACTTATGGCAAGTAGAATGAACCTGAAATCTGAAGGCAAGTAACTGAAAATGAGAGACACAATTTTTGGACCAGATAATCAGCATCAATCAATGGTCAATAAAAATAATAAACTAAAGGAATGAAGCAGGTTTTAGTTGAACATGATTAAAGCTCTGAATAGTTCAGATTAATCTGAAAATTTTCAGTTCAGATTAACTTCGGTTCAGTTTCAGATTGCAAAAAATTCAATCTGAAAATTTTTGGTTCAGTTCAGATTTTTTTTAGATTATAAATCTAATCCAAATCGAAAAAAATCTGAACTGAACTGAAAATTTTAGATTAATCCGAAATTTCAGATCGTTTGGAACAATTAAATTTATCGTTTCAAACAAATGATAAAAGAATCGTTCGATTAGAATGATGAAATTATCGTTTTAAACGAACGATAAGAAAATCGTTCAATTGGAATGATATTTTAATCATTTCAAATAAACGATAATAGAATCGTTCAATTAGAATGATCAAAATATCGTTCCAAATGAACGATAAAAGAATCGTTCAATTTGAACGATCAAAATATCATTTCAAATGAACGATAATAGAATCGTTCAATTAGAACGATGAAATTATCATTTCAAACGAACGATAAAAGAATCGTTCAATTGAAACGATCAAAATATCGTTCTAAATAAACGATAAGAAAATCGTTCAATTGGAATGATCAAAATATCATTTTAAATGAACGATAAGAAAATCGTTTAATTGGAACGATCAAATTATCGTTCTAAATGAATGATAAAAGAATCGTTCAATTAAATGATTGAAGTTATCATTCCAAATGATCTAAAATTTCAGATTAATCTGAAATTTTTGGTTCAGTTCAGATTTTTACTGGTTTACGGTTCGATTCAGTTTCAGATTGGCATTTTTAAGATTTTTAATCTGAACCAAACTGAAATTTTTGATTCAGTTTCAGATTGGTCTATAATCTGAACTGAACTGAACTGTTCAAAGCATTAAACGTGATTTGTAAAAAAATAGGTTAAATGCCGATTGTCAATTGTGTAAGGATAAAATAGAAGATATAAATCAGACTGATTGTTGCGTACAGAGAATCATTTCACTACAGCCAGATTTTTTATTCCAAAAAGTGCATTAGAGAAAGTAATAATAGAAGCTAGGCATAAATGTATCTTTTACCCAAAGTTTCATTATGAGCTGAATTTCATTGAACGATATTGAGGGTAACAAAAAGATTTGCTCAAGAGAACTGTGACTATTCTTGGTCAGGCTTACAACGTGTTGTTCTTGCTGCCTTAGAATTTGTTAATACAATTACAATAAGAAAATTTGCCAAAAAGGTATGACGCTATATAGATTTATATAAAAAAGGAATCACAGATAAATTGGTAGAATATGCTACCAAAAAATATAAATCTCACTATTGTATTTCTGAATATGTATTGGCAGAATTAAATGAAGTATTATAAAATAAAATACAGTAAATGTGGTTTCGCAAAAAAATGCAATTTCACATAAATTAATATTAAATCACGTGAATATCACGTGGTGATCAGTATCTAAAATTTCGGACTAGTGCAGTTTATAGGTGACAACTACCATAGGAAACTGCATGAATTTTAGGTGAAAGTTAGGCATTATCTGAATCTTAAGTATCTCTCTAATAAAACAAATTTGATAAATCAAAGCATGAGATCCATAACTATAATACTTGTAAAATTGATTAATTATAAACTAGCTATGGTTAATAAAACAATATAATAGGAAATCTTGTCTAAAAAATATATGCTTGACTTAGAAGACATTTCTCTAATATCTACCAATTATAATAATATTAACAATTAGCAAGCGTTAAACATCTCATGGCTTAATCTGCAAAGAACAGGTTGCAGAGATAGTAGCAGGTTACTTAGAAGTATAACATCACGATCAAGAAAAGGGGAAAATACTTTAGCTTAGATGGGATTGCTAAAAAATTAGAACTTTGCATCCGCTCTGAAAGCAAATCCTATCCTGGCTATGAATATTACTACAGCAGATGATAACCCTTTATAAGATCAAGAGTAATAATTCTTTTATAAAAAATATTCAGTTTTATATTAATATGAAATAATTTGATAAAAGAAAATCTGAAGTTTTTTTATACCAGTTAGAGCCTAATTTGAAAAAGCAGTTTCTAATTTTTTTTAAATTTTTTAATTTCAATTTTGTAAAATTACAAAGGTTTTTATAATGCATTATCTAAAATTCTAATAGTTCATTAAATAATTAATTAAATAAAAATAAAATATATAATTTTAAGAACATGTTATGCCTATTATTTTTAAATAAATTAATTTTAAAATAAATAATAAAGTCTTTATAAGAAATTGATCTAAGCCATCACTTTAAGCACAAAATAAAATATGTTGTAAAGTAATATATATTTATTTTTTTTATATTATTTAAATAAAATTTAAAACCCTTAAATACATAATAAAATATGTTATCAAAACGCAGAAAATCGTAAAAAAGACTAAGATATATTTTTTAATATTTCTTATAAATATCTCTGAAAATATTCATTTTATTGTGAAAAACAAAAATAAAAAAACAAATATAATTTTTATTTATATTTAAAATTAATATTTTATTTTTATAGAATTTATTACAAATTATTTATTTTCAGATTTTCAAAAAAAAGAAAAGAATAATATCTATAATCTATTACTTTATCATATAAGAAAGTAAAAAAAAAGAGATTATAGCTTATTTAATCCACAACATATATATCTTCAATAATTAATATAAGACTATATTAGACTTCACGATGAATTAAAGCTCTGAACGGTTCAGATTAATCCGAAAATTTTCAGTTTAGATTAACTTCAGTTCGGTTTCGAATTGCAAAAATTTCAATCCGAAAATTTTCGGTTCAGTTCGGATTTTTTTCAGATTATAAATCTAATCTGAACTGAAAAAAATCCGAACTGAACCGAAAATTTTGGATTAATCTGAAATTTCGGATCGTTTGGAATGATGAAATTATCGTTCCAAATAAACGATAAAAGAATCGTTCATTTGGAATGATTGAAGTTATAGTTCCAAACGAATAATAAGAAAATCGTTTGATTGGAAAGATCAAATTATTGTTCTAAAAGAACGATAAAAGAATCGTTCGTTTGAAATGATTGAAGTTATCGTTCCAAACGAACGATAAAAAAATCGTTCATTTGGAACGATTAAATTATCGTTCCAAATGAACGATAAAAGAATCGTTTGTTTGGAACGATTGAAGTTATCGTTTCAAACGAATGATAAGAAAATTGTTTAATTAGAACGATCAAATTATCATTCCAAAGAACGATAAAAGAATCGTTCATTTGGAACGATTGAAGTTATCGTTCGATTGGAATGATTAAATTATCATTCGTTTAGAATGATCAAATTATCGTTCGTTTGGAACGATCAAATTATCGTTCCAAATAAACGATAAAAGAATCATTTGTTTAGAACGATTGAAGTTATCGTTCTAAACGAATGATAAAAGAATCATTTGTTTGGAATGATTGAAGTTATCGTTCCAAACGAACGATAAAAAAATCGTTCGATTGAAACGATCAAATTATCGTTCTAAAAGAACGATAAAAGAATCGTTTGATTGGAACGATTGAAGTTATCGTTCCAAAAGAACGATAAAAAAATCGTTCATTTGGAACGATTAAATTATCATTCCAAACGAACGATAAGAAAATCGTTCGATTAGAACGATCAAATTATCATTCCAAAAGAACGATAAAAGAATCGTTCGTTTGGAACGATTGAAGTTATCGTTCTAAACGAACGATAAAAAAATCGTTCGATTGGAACGATCAAATTATTGTTCCAAACGAACAATAAAAGAATCGTTTGTTTGGAACGATTGAAGTTATCATTCCAAACGAACAATAAAAAAATCGTTCGATTGAAATGATTAAATTATCGTTCCAATCAAACGATAAAAGAATCGTTCGTTTGGAATGATTGAAGTTATCATTCCAAACGAACGATAAAAGAATCGTTCGTTTGGAACGATTGAAGTTATCGTTCTAAACGAATGATAAAAGAATCGTTCATTTGGAATGATTAAATTATCATTCTAAACGAACGATAAAAGAATCGTTCGTTTGGAACGATTGAAGTTATCGTTCCAAAAGAACGATAAAAGGATCGTTCCAAACGATCTGAAATTTTGGATTAATCTGAAATTTTCGGTTCAGTTTAGATTTTTACCGGTTTACGGTTCAGTTCGGTTTCGGATTGGCATTTTTAGGATTTATAATCCGAATCGAACCGAACTGAAATTTTCGGATCAGTTTCGGATTAGCCTATAATCCGGACCGAACCAAACCGTTCGGAGCATTACGATGAATGATGATGATTCTGATCCTGTATTACCAGTTTCAGATCAAAATCATGATGATAATCTTTCAAGTTATCTATCATTCTTCAGACTACTGCGTTGGGAATCTTCATCAAAATTACAAAGGTTATATGATAGATTTCAAAATAGTATTCTATCACAATAGCCTCAGATTTCTTGCATATATTGCAAAAAACTTTTATATTTAAAAAAAGCGTGTTAAACATTATACAATTCATCAATTATTTATTCTTTATAACAATGAATATACAACGTCATTCTGCCTTTCAATCCAAATGTTAATCACATAACTCAGCTGAGGGTACCTACCTATAAGTCATGTAAGAAGGCTTCTATCAGGTATCAATTTCCTCATCTATCCCTTTTACCAGATGAGATACTTTTTGTATCTATGCATAAAAGAAGATATCTATTACCCATCTTCCTTTGAAAAGAATACCAGGTAGCAATTCTTACTCAGAATACAGAAGCTTAACTAGTACGATAAATTACTTTCACAACATTAGAATATATGCTTTGTATTCTGAAACATTAGGAGCTTTCCTGAAATCAAATAAAAATGATCATACTAATAATAAAGGTCAGGATATTTCAACTCCTAATGAGATTCTACAATGAGCTGCTATCTGGCTTACAAAAAATAACCTTTACCTTCATTTTTTTGCAAACCTTTTACTATCTAATCCTGAATATTATATACTAAATGATCACTTTCTGAATGCACAACACATTCAGACATACCAGTACTCCCCTTGTTAACCCACGTGATATAGTGATCTCAAATTATGAAATTCCTTAATGAAGTATATGATAAAGATTTTTACTATAGTAGATTGATAGCAAGTTTCATCCAAGAAAGTGAAACATTATGAATTTCTATCTCAACCTATAATCTGAATCTAGAACCTTTACTCTTTTCAAACCTATTTATAAATGAAAAAGGAACATTTTCACAATCTGGATTCTGATAATGAAGCTCATAATAAAATATGGATAATACATTAAATCACGTTTAATAAATATTGATGCGAAATAAAAAATTCATTATCATTAGCCATTATGGTTATATTTTCAACTTGAAAAATTAAGACATCATCAAAACACTCAACAATTACTACTACAATCTTACTTGAATTCTAATAATAATCATAATATCAATAATACAACTCTTTCAAATGCTAGAAACTTACTTCAACTAAGTGCTTACTCCAATCACAATATAATAGACAAAGGTAAAATAATTTCAATTTCAACCTTTATACATACTAGTGATTCTTATTTTTATCAAAAATAACTTTATCTGAACTTAATGTTACATAAATTCAGATTGCCAACACTGTTTATAACATTAAGTATAGCTAAAAACCATTAGATATATCTTCAAGAAATACTTGCGAATAGTAACAATAGAGATATACTACTAATAAATAGACTGTTTCACTATGTTAATTACTTTGTATACAAGTTCCAATCATTGAAAAAAAAGCTTTACAAAAAATCAGAATTATAGGTTTTAGTAACATTACTAACTTCTTTGATTGTGTAGAGTTTTAGAATAGGGAGTAGCATATACACATAGCTGCTATTGAATAACAAATATCATTAACGAAATGATCTCAAATAATATTATCTGATCGATTATGCCAGATTCTTTATATAAATCAGAACTGTATACTACTATTATTGCTAACCAAATACATACCTGTAATATGAATTTCAAGAACCTACATCTTCAGGTTATACATGTAAAAAAGGTTTTTTTTAACCTTTAGTGAAATAATATATCATATTAAAGGAGAAAACTAATATGTTTATAGATGTCTAACAGAAGCTTATTCTTGGGTTATCCCTTATCACGCTCTAATACTATTACTTTAAAATGTTCATATAAATATTTAATACGTAACAAATAAAGGATTTGTTTATTACATAATGAAATATATTACAAAAAGAGAGCATCATACATATTTACCATCTATAAAAATGATCTCTTAAGAGAACATGTAATTGCACACTGTCTTAGTTTAATAGAGCTCATATTTTTGTTCTTAAGACATGAAATTTACAATTCATCAGCTACAGTCAATTTTCTTATCACAGTATCACCTCTTACACAAACACGCTCAATTTTTCCTGTATATAAAATAGATGAAAATGATAACAATATTTATTAAAATTATACTATTATAAAATATATATTCTGATCTTATGATCAAGAGTTTAAAACCCTCATCTATCCTCAATACTTTAAAAATATTCAGTTACACCTTTTTTATCACCTAGAATTACACGTAAAATTTATTACGATGAGTTAAGAAATTATGTTATCAAATGATCAAAAGAAATCATAATCAGGTATCGATTTCTTAAGATTACTGATGAAGAACTTTACTTTTATCAACAATTATTATTAAATATACCTGTATAAAATAAATCTGATTTTAAGATTACTTCTAATAGAATATATCGCAAAAAGTTTCTGTCTCTATATTCTGAATTCTTAAATAATTTATAGAATTAAGCTACAATCACACATTAATTCTGAATGACGTATCTA